GTCTGTTGGGTCATCTGAAGAGCACACTCCAGCAAATACATATTCTTCCAACTAAATCTCCACAGCAGCAGCTGTGTATCAGACCTCAGACCTCATCTTCTAATGCTTGTGCCTTCTGGTATCAATCTCCTATCTGAAGTTTAGGATTCACAGGAACAATCTAGAAGATGGAGAATTTTTGCATCTTTAAAACACCAGAGTCTCTTACCCAAGTATCTTTAAGGATGTGACTGTAAATATTGTAAAGTCCTGTGATTTTATGAAAATATTTGGTGTATCTGTTTAAAGTCCCAATTCTGGAAATGGTCTAAATACAAATTGGCTTTAAACCTTTTTAATAGAAATTTTGAGTCTTCCTGGTTAGGTAAAACATTAATTCTTAAAGATCAACCAGAGACAAATAAAGATAATTTGTTCCCATTTAGTATTTTATTTAAAAAATGATTCTCCATTTGATCTAATAAATAGTGAGGAGTCATGACTTTCAAATTTTTGGGATTGCCAGTACAGTAACCAAATGTCCTATCACCACATATTGAACCTGCCCAAGGAATCCTCCTCAGTTCAAGGAATTATTAAACCTATTTTTTCAGTAGGTTTCTCCACATCACACAGGGCTGCACATAATCAATATTTCACTTCCATACCACAGATTGCCCCCTCCAGAGGGCCAGAATTCCCCATGGCAGTTATCCTATCTTAAAGCAAATCCCCAGCGTCTTGCAGCTCTCTTGACTAAGGCAGCTGTGTATACCCCGCCTGGATCTGGCCCAGATGCCTTATTTCTATTGCATGAGATGATTAATTATGTGGTTTTTCTTCTGTTTGTCTGATAGACGCTGAGGTAAGAGAGTGATGGTTGCTTAGTGCACTATTATTAAAAAGCTGCTTTTGATAGCCCTGAACAGGCTTGAGTTGTGTGCTACAGCTAATCATAAAGCTGCTTGCTTGGAAATGTAATGCTTGTTAATACTATACTGTACTTTTATAAGTAAACGAATTTTTGATTGGCTAGAGTTTAACTATAATCAGTAATTAAGGGTCAGCCATCCAGTAAACTCATTAGTTTACACCAATTACATTTGGTATAGTAACTAATGATTTCAGGGATCAAGCCATTTATTTCTAAGCTTTCAAAGTATAATTATTGTGTAAATCAGATAGAGTGTAAATCTTTTCCATACGTTTTGGTTGGTAATTGAGAAATAAAATGGTTTCCAAATGTATTCTCTGTCCAGTTTTTGTTCTGCAGTAGATCTCTCTGGGGACTCTTTAAAGTATATGGAAAAGGTGATGTCAACAGAAGTGTACGCTGGGCAAACTGAGACAGGATTAATTAATAGAGATGAAAGAGAAAAGCCAGCCCCTTGCAAATCGTGGTCCAGGCCTCAACTTGGACATCACACCTTAAATGACAGTTTACAATCTTAAGCATGAGTCACACAAATTGACAAGTATTCAAAATAGAAGAGAATTAAAAATCCTTTCTGTTTAATGTATAAAGGCCTTTCCAATATGCAGTCTTTAAGATGGTGTAATCTCTGGAGCCTTTTGCTTTGAAGTTTAATATGTAGCTCCTCACATCCACATAACATTTTCAACACATTAAACAAATTAGTCTCTGGTTACAGAAGTTTTTAGACATTTACAAGTTGCCGTTTAACTAAATTTAATATGTGCCAGCGAAGTTGCTCATACACTTGTTCATTTAGAAAAATGCACTTTTCGAATGATTAATAAATAAACCAGCCTTTCCTATGCCTTCAACTTTGGTGTTTATTTGAAAGCAATCTACTTTAAAAAGACATTAATATCCCTAGAATTATTATTAGAATAATTGCTTTTACTCTTCTTGGAACACACATTTTTTCTCATTTCCCTTCAGCACAGACAGCTTTTGACTCAGATATAAACTTCCTATTATTATTCCCCACTCCCCACCCCAAAAATGAAGAATAGGAATTATACACTTTTCACTAAGGAATAATTAATTTGTCTCAAGTATTAGAACAGAGAATTGTAGGATGACTTTGAATGGTAGTCTCTAAGGAATAGCATTGTTTGTTCTCTTCGGTCTTTAATGAGCTTTAGTAAATGGCCAGGAAAAATTACCTTCTTTCTGTAATATGAGAGAAGGGAAGAATGAAGGAAGCTATAGAATCCCTAGGAGAAAGATGAGCAGACACACACACACAGCCCCCTGTACCACATTGCTTCCAATGGTTAGTGTTCTCCTTTGGAACTGAGCACTAGAGCTTGAGTTTTCCATTACGGTAAAACATATAACGTCCCTAACATTTTTGTAGGAGAAAAAATTCCTGTATGTCTCCCACACACTGACAGTGTCTGGCTTATGTTGGGGGACAACTGCCTATAGCTGAGCTCTGGAAGTCATTCTGGCTTCCTCTGCTTTGGCATTGACTTTGTCTTTTAAGATTTCTTAGTCTATTTTTGTTGCATTTCCACCTTGAAAAGCAATTTCCGTTATAGTGCCCCAGCCTGCTGCCCTGTCTTTTAAGACTTCTTTTCCCTCCACCACATATTTGCTGCCACTGCTTTCCAGAATGATAACTGAGGCAGCAGTGGCAGGTGCTTGTTTCAGCTATGACTACAAGCCCATTGCCATGGATAACAGAATACACTTCAGGAACACCTTTTCCACCCCTTCCCTCCCACCCAGTCTCCACACATGTCCTCACTACCTAGTCTCATATCAAGTCAGTGGTACTGAGGCAGCTGCCATTGCTGCTCTGGGGTATTGAGCGAGCTGACCCACAGCAGTCAAGAGAGACCAGCACAGTTCTAAAAGGATCTTGTCAAGCAGGGTATCTCTCCAGTCCATCCTGTTGAAGTTGTTCCAGTTTGTATGGAATAATTAAATACTAAAAGGATTGCCCTGTGTGCTTGCTCTCAAAGCATTGCTGAAAGCAAGAAGCCCGGGGTTTGTTACCCTCTTTCAGGGAACACTTCCATACTTTGTGTTAAGTATTGACTGGGGCAGGCCCTGGCAGACGTGCTTTCCCTGTTCCAGGTGAGTGCCTCCACTACAAGGCTGACAAGTCAAGCTCAAGCTTTCCCACTTGAAGAAAGGACTCAGGTCACCCTCCTTACAGAAGAGTAGATAATGTCTTGGGTAAGGTGCTAATTCAGGGCACAAGAGATTCAAGATCAAATTGCCTCAGGCAGAGGCTGAATACAAGTCTTGGCTAAATTGCACCAGCCGGGAGATTGAACCGCAAAAGCTTGGGAGAGGAAGAGAGGCACAGGAGCAAGGAGGAGAGACGTGCAGAAGGTGACAGCACTGTCATTATTTCATGAGAAAAACCTGGCACAGATGTCCAGTTCCTAGAAAGCAGCAGAGCAAGTGTGGTAAGTAGGTAAAGCAACACACGGTGTTACAACACCTTAGTCTGATTGTGGCTTTGGATCATGGGAGGCACTCTCATGGCAGACATCAGATTTCTGACTAGAGTTCAGGGTCACGAGGGATGTGAAGAGAGATGATGAAAGTGGGGAGAGCTGCCTGGACCCATCCCAGACATTTAGGGAAAAGATAAAAGTAAAAAGCTGCTGCCAAAGTAAAAATAATTTCTCTCTATCACAGGCTCTCTTCAGTGCAATTGTTAGAGAGGAATAAGTGGAGAAAGATGTTTGAAAGATAGATAGGAGACAGTGAGAACAGGACTAGTAAGTGAGGCAGAAATGTTGGAAAGAAGACAAAGAGGAAGAAACATCAGAAAGCAACAGGAGGATTGGACAAAGAAAAAGGAAAATCCATAACTTACCAAGATGCTTCACCTCTCATTGCTTCAATCTTCTGGCAATAAAATAATAACAGTAAGAGAACCACAGAGCATTTCAGTGACTTTGAAGCCCATAAATATTTAGGAGACAGTTAAGTGTCCTAGTGATCAAGATTGTGTTAAGAAGAAAGCAGGAAAATTTAAGAGAATGTTCTGACATGTCTAAAGCAGTGCTATCAGGGAGAAGAAAAGGAACAGGACTTATGTGCTTAATTTTGTATGTGTAACTGAGTATTAAAATCCACACCCAAGCACACTGGTGCTTAGTAGAAAAAATTGGGCCTGTTTCAAACCAGTAAGAACACATGGTTTAAGGCATACAGTCGCTCTTTCTTCACTAACAACCCACTGTGACTCCTATAATTTATTCCTCCCAAGATTCATTTGAACATCTGCAGTATCATTATTTGAGTTTGTTATACTATTAGCTTTAAAATTTTATAAGCCATACAGTAGGATAGGTGACAAGTTGAAAAGTTAAGGAGGGTTAATTTAGAAGTTTTAAAGCGAAGCTATTTTTGAGTTATACAAGTAAAAAAAAGCATCTGAATCCAAACCTCCATGGTTACATTTAAGTAACTCAGAAACTGCTGAAAGGATTTTCTTCGAACTTCACTCAAGACAAATCCCTCTGGGCTAAGACCAAGCATGAGAATTTAACTCAAAAGGTGATTGTTGTCTGAAGGGAGTTTTCTTTTTCCTTTTTTTTTCCCTCCCCTCCCCTCGTTTTGCTTGTTTTGTTTTCAATGTTCCAAAAAAAAAAATAGCACTGAAAAAAAAAAAGATGTGGAGTGTAACTGTTTCATATCCATTTTACCATTATAATAAGAAAAATGCTGCTCATAAACTACCTTTTTATTAAAACCAGACCCCCTGCTTTGCCTTTAGCCATTACTAGCAGTCTTGGTACCCACCTCTACCAGGCATTGGATAATGCTGTAACTGGTGGCTCAACAGAGAAGTATCAAGCTGTACTCTCAGCCCCATCTGCAGCTTCTCTGCATGCTTCAGGAGCTCTGTGCTCCTGAGGATTCCCCTTAAGAGGAAGTCTTAGGAGAGCAGACAATCAGCAGCTCTACAGCACTCTTCCCTTTGCTTCCCATCCCCAGTTCATAGGAGGTGAAGCATATTCTATACCTGTAGAGTGACCCAAACAATATGTTGATTTCTCACTGGTCTGGGATTTGGAAGGCAGGAAAGATAGCTGTAGTCATGCTTTTCTCAGCTCACTGACTGTTAACTTGGGGCATCTGGCACCATCATTCATTCTTGCCCTTCCCTTGCTGCGGCCAAGGGACTCACCTAGTTGTGTAGCTGAAGGAACCCCTGTAAAGGCAGAACCTGAACAATGAAGATGGAAATGTCTATCTTCTTTCTCAACATCCTTGAAGTCAGTCCTCTTTCATATCAGCATCATGGGTCCTGGTAGCCTGATTGTCTGGATTAAGAAAAAAGAGTGTAGATTTTTTTTTCCCATCCTCTTGATTTCAACTTTCTACCACATTTTGGTTTCTACAAATTGTCCCAGGGCAGACAAGAGCCTTTCCCTCCCCCTCCTACCAGGCTTGTTTTTGATTCTCTGGCAGCACGTCCCATAGTTATTCACTCATTTGTTTGTTTGTTTTTCCATTTGCAACTTTTGCCCCCTCCAAAGAGCTGGCTTGCCCAGGGAAATTACAGTAACTTATTTAATTTCAAATGCATTCAAAAAGGCATTTTAATTGTTTCTTTTCATTTAGAGCAGCATCCAGATTTGGAATTTGTGAAAAACTGAAGGAGAAGGTTTGGAATACATTTGCTGAAATAATTCACCACATTTAACCTAGGCAACTCAGATATATGCGGAAACAGCTTCCCTTGCCTATCTTCCATATACATGACCTGGATTAAAAACTGCTTTGGGCAAGGGCCAACTCATTGTTTGTGGCCCTAACACAATGTGGCTTGCAAAATGTGGCAATACTGTAATACCTAGGGATTTGTTTCAGGAGATCCTGATTTTGGAACCAAAATATATGTTTCCTGATAACTGCTAACTGAACAGTGGGAAATACAGCTGAAATGAGCATAGAGAAGAGCATCAGGAATTCAAAGTCTGAAATTCAGTTCTCCTTTATTTTAATTTTAGGGAAATCTACTGTGGCAAAAGAAAGAGGCCTTAGTGTGGGTATGAGGATGTGGTAGCCTACAGAGGGAGGCAAATTTTGGCAAACATCAGAAAAAAATCAAGAAAATTTTTAAAAATTCAAGTCACAATATTTAAACAATCAGAAAGCTTTTTCATTCATAAATGTCCCATCTACTCTGTACCACCAAACTTCTGGGGTATCATTTTTCAGTCAGCACTTGGCAGTCAGCACTTTAAGCTGTCTGCTGCTATCTCATTCATACAGCTTTTTCATTGCAGGTCAATATTATCTGACTAGGTTCAGATTAAATCTTAATATACCGTTCATCTGAAAAAAACCCACTCCAAGCACATTGAAAAATTGCAAACATAAACAGTACAGTTTCCATGGATGAGGACATATTAAAATGTATTCTAAAGGAAGAGCAGAAGGAAAAAGAGGAATGTGAAGTTATGATCATAGAGGAGAATGCCCTTTTTCAGCTGGGATTTTATGTAAGAAGGAGAATGAATGAAGCACAGAGAAAAAAGCTCGGTCTCCTCACTGCTGCTTCTCTAGCAAAGAAGATTTTCACATCAGCCACAGTAAAATCAGACAGAAGAATAGCAGATCTGAATATTGTATGGGAAGATGGGAAATGAGGAAGAGTTCAGCGCAGTTCAAAGATGGCAAGGTATAGTGAAGGCAAATGGAAAGAGGTGAAACTGGAAGAGAGGAGCTGATGGAACCTAATAGGAAGACACAAGTTTAATTAATAAAGACAGGTAGAGAAAACTGAACAAAGAAGATTAATTTAAAATGTCAAAATATACCTTTAGTTGTGGCTGCTAAGGTAAAAATAAAGGTAACATATGTAGAAAGCCCATGAAAATTGAGGGGTGCAAGACTGGGTTCAAGGATGGGAGTGCTGAGAAGATCTGAGGCTACAGAGAAGCTCCTCTAAGAGATGACAGCACTGTCTCTAGTGTTTATTGCTGCCTTCCAAATACCCAACATACTGCTCCATTAGCAAAAGAGATCACAAATCACCTCCTAATCTGTTTAAATTAATCCTGCCAGATTCATTTCACCTGGTGATGAACATGGATATGAGCTAACCAGGCTGGCTTTACTTGTAGTGCATTAGGGAATGCTTGCTTGGCCTCTTCTGATGGCAGAGATATGGGGAGGGACCAGAGGCAAGCAGCAAGCTGTGGTGTGGTTTTCAGCCAGTAAATGGTGTCTAAAGGCAGCGGGGAGGATATTTATTTGGTCTAGGAGAACACATGAACATGTAAGACTGGAATCAATACAGATGTGTGGAAGGATGCAAATTTCTTAAGTTGAATGAAACTCAAGGAAAAAGTTATCATCAGCAAATCAGCAAGAAAAATTCATCTCTCTACATCCCACTGATATGAGTAAGGTACACTTGCATCAAGTGAATTGGTACAGTTAGGAAGCACACCAAAAACTGAGCATATCCTTAATTTACCTCTATTATCCAGAGCGGTTCTGTTCTCCAAGATAGGTAGATCATGGGAAGTTTGTTTCGCTTCAGCTATTGTTGTAACAACTCAAAGACAGAGACCAAGAATTTTGGTTCTGAAAGTGTAGAGATTTTAGAAACATTAAAATAAGATGAAACTGAAACATGGAAATATTCTCTGTAGTCCACCCTATGTTGTTCCCTGTAATTATAGCTGAGAATCACAAATCAACATTTTGTTGAGAGGCCACCCCTTCTGTATTTTTAGAGGGACTGAAGCTCTAAAACCTTTGCCATTACTTTTATATCTATCTTCTGTGTTATCATTTATATTGAGGCTCTTAATATTTGACTCAGTAGGCCTTATGTTGTTTAGTTCTCCACCACTTATCTCCTTATGTTGGGTGCCTATCATTCATGTTTCTGTAAAGTTCAGCTGAAACCAGTAGTTCATGTTACTGGCACTTTGCATTGCAAAAATTGAGAAGTAGAATTTGCAATCCAAGTCATTCACAGAACATTCTTATACAGCACATAATTTGCCAACAGCTAAATTAATCTTGCTGCACAATGTGAGGCTGTGTACATGTGGTTTTTGATACAAAAGGGTCCAGTGAAATCAATGGTATAGGCATCATATTAACTCAGAACCAGCTTTTTCATGTCCATGAAGCTTAGTCATGTGCTTGCTAATTTAGAACTCAAAGGTAAGCAAGAATCTCAGCTCTCCTTTTTAAACAGTGTGAATTTTCAATCCAATTTACCTTGCGTAGATGAAAACATAAATCAGTAGCTGGTCTCCGCTGCACATACTAATTTAATGAACTGGGGCTTTGACCACATGTGTATTTACACTTTGGGAACCTGAAGACCTTTCCATCTATACTGCATTAGGTTTGGATGCATGCCAAAGAACTATCTATAATCTGAAGGGAGGGGGGAAAGGCAGTCTGGCCCACCAGTTAGCACCAGGGTCTAGAACAAGGGTATGAGACAGGTCAGTGGTCAAGCACCATCCATAACCTCCAACCAGTGATCAGTGGAAGTAATGCAAGTGCTGCTGCAGTATCACCACGCTCCAGAAAGAAGCCCCAAAGTATGACCCAGGACAATGTTTGGGGTCACCACAGCTTAGCTGGAAAGGGTTGTATCCAGTACAACATGGATGATCTGGAAGAAAGCTCCAAGAAGAGGGTGACACAAAAGTTTCCTCAGATCTACATTTTAGCTCATTGCTTGTTGTACTACAAAACAAACCACATTTGGGGGTTTTGTCTAGTAGGTTTTCAAAAAAGGTGTGTAATGAAAAGTCTGTCAGAATGCAAAATGAAGTTTATAATAAACAGACAGAGAATAAATATTCATGCACAACCATCAAGCCTGCTTTGGCACCAGTCACATTGGGTGACTTCTGTTGACTTGACAAGACTGTGACCTGAAACACAGACTCCAAAACGGCAGTGTCTCCTCAGCTCCCGTCTGCTCTTTGCCTTGTCCCAACGACCATTGACCCAGAGGGATGAAGCCTCGCACTAATCATTCTCAGACCTCAATGTGAGTCCATTCATCAACAGCTCCCTTCTGCTGAACTAGTCTAAACCAATTCTCTTCACACACTTGTCCAGGCAACACGTCCACTCCCCGGTTGTTTCAGATGTGCAAAATAGTGAAAATAGACTTCTCTGAGCAGATGTTCCTGAGCATATAATCTCAAAAACATGACTACAAACGTCAGGTGTCTTTGGCTTCACAGAGAAGGCTGAGGTAAAGCTGGGAAAAAGCAGAATAAAGGCAATGGGTAGGGGTAGAGTATAGAAAAACAAAATGTTGCTGGAACATCAGTTCATCATAGATTGCAAGACACATTCGGATAGTGCTTCTACTGGTCAACTCTGGTTATGGTTAGACTCCTCCCTCTACTCTAATACCAGAATTAAAGCTGTCAGATTTTGTCTAGGTGCCAAAGGAGAAAGGAAATGATATTAACCATCTCTGTTAATCTGAACAACAGAATTAGTAATGATCTTTACACTTGAAATTTATTTAAAAAGTGTATTTAGCTTAGCTTATCAGATCACACTTATTAAAAAATCAAAAATGAGAAGTTCTGTGATGTGAGAACAAGTTACACTGAGAATGAAAAAGTCAGCACATCCCCAGCCTATGGGATGGGGGGGCCATCTGCTAACAACATTTAGGAAACATAGTTTGAGTGGAAAGTTCCCCTTCCAGCCTCAGGCTTTGTTAAGAGTAATTGAGTTTAGCTCTTAAGATCTTGTTCTATCCATAACTCTAGTTCAGAGCACCTCAAATCTAAGCCTTGCCAAGGACCCCAGTGCACTGCCATCAAAAGAGGGTAGTCCTGTATGCTGGGGTCTCTTGGTGGAGTCATGCTGAAAGCAAAATAACTTTGCACAGGCACAGGAATTCCTGCTGTCAGGTTCCAGATCATAGTATAAATAAAGCTTGTCCAGAAAACACACACACAGGTTTTCTGCCTTGATGAAAAGCCAGCAGAAACAATTTGATTATATTTCTTTCTCTCTTAGCTACACAAGTGTCATTATTTTTGCATATTTTCATTATGCAAAGTCACATTGGACCCAACAGTGTAAGTATCCCCTTCATTCTGCTGGTGTTTGGCTTCTTATTAGAAATGTTATCAGAAGGTAAACACAATGCACAGGAAGGTTTGCTGCAGAGTAACGAGGTTTTAATACCATACCACACCATGTCGACAACTCAGAAATGTTTTAACAGGGTAAAACTATTTTTGGTAATTACAAAGAAGCTGAAAGGAAAAGCATCCCCTCAAGCTGACAACATACATTTTATACAGAA